ACTTTGACAATTGTCTTGTGATTCACTCCTGAGGATGACCTTGTAACGTCGAAACGTGTAGAGTCGCCAACTTTTTGAAGGCCATAGATAAGCGTAAATAAAATGTTTTTAGTTGTGTACCAGTTTAACGTTGAATATTATTTATGATTCTAACGTATCACTATTCTTTGAATGAGCCATAAAAAACATCGACCACCCCTCCAACACACCCACACTCTAGACACGTCACACGCTACAGCAATAGTATTATTTATATGTTTAAAAAAGAAACTGATTTAAAAGCGAACAGTTGTGACTAAAATTGATGTACTAAATTTTGTACGTTTAGAATGTCTTTATCCATATAATAGTAACTGGTATATACTTGTGGTTTATGTGTTAAGAAAAACGTTACATTTGGACAGTTTTAGTTTGAATAAATGAGTTCCTTGTAAACGACCTGGACACTTCTATACTAAGGTGTTTTTACTATATTATTGTATTGTCAGTATGTTTTATTAACATATTAACGAAACTACCCGGCTTCGCTCGGGTTGTTAGGTTCATATATTCTAGATGACTATGTGAGTGTGTGTTTTCAGAACCTATTTTAGCATAGAAGAACAGTCAAATATATTTTAAACATTTTTATTGCCCAGAAACATAAAAAAGACATAAAAGTACATGATCAAACAAGAATATTAGGTTATACTTTTGTTACTAAGCAACATGACATAAAAGCCATTGTTGGAACGTAGTGTTACCTAAACACATTGGCTTTTCTATATATTAGAAGTTGTTAATCTAACTGATTTTTACCAATAACTATCCTATTCATACGCCGAGAATTCTTTTCATGAATGATCTTATTTTTGATTGGCTGACAAAGGAATTTATCGACGTTTGATGGGCTGTACGCCAATAATACAATAAACGTTTATTAACATTCATGAATTAACTGCCAGTTATTTGTCTGTTTGTTTAAAAGTTTTAAATCTTTCTACTTCTACAAATTAAAATACTTGAGTGGATATCTAAATATTTAGGTGCTAGTTCAGGGATAGGTAGAGCCACTGCTGTGTTGTTCTCACGCCTGGGAGCGAGGCTAGCTCTGACTGGAAGGAACCAAGAAAATTTGACAAAATCTGCTGAAGAATGTGAAACAGCTTCACCTTATAATCTAAAGGTTTGAATAAACATTATATAATATAGAAGTATTTGATACAAAAGGAATGTTAAAATAACAGTTACTGAAAATGTAGTAATTCTGCATATATGTACAGTCTGTAAATTCTGTTGACGTTGGTACGCTTACAGAAAGTAGAAAAACAGATGAAAAGCTGCACATTTGTACATGCGCAAAAGAAGTTTCATTACTGTTACCATATATGGTGTTTCATGGCGGACGCACTTATTATCCAATCACCCAGTGTTTGTTTATTGTTAACAACACAAGGCTACACAATGGTCTCTCTGAGATCTTACACAGCAAGTATCGAAGCTGGATTTTTAACGTTATAAACTCTCGGACACTACCACTGAGATAACTGGAGGAGCTACATGACGCTAGTAAAGTTATTCACATTTAAAACTTTTATTTTAAACTTCAACAAAACGTGATTCTATGTGATCTTAAACACTGTCCAACAATGATCCTTTAAAGTCAGAATGATATCGGGAGTGGCAATATTTTGATTTCTAAAACGTCTGTTTGGTATTTCGTTGATAAATAATATTGAAAACTCCCCCTACTTTTAATTTCTTCTTCATACATTCATTCATTATCAGAGTTTTATTTTTTATTTGAAATATTTTTGAGGTGTTGTTATTTTTTCATAACTTATTATATTTTTAATACGATAACAAATTCTGTAGAAACACTATAACATGAAACAATACTTTAACGGAACAATTTACTGCACGACTCAGTATGTTTATTTCTGTTTTCTAACTCAAAAGGTTCACTTTCTTTTGTATTTCAGCCTTTGTGTATCGTCGGTGATGTAACCATAGAATCCGATATTGATCGGATTATGAAGTCAACAATTGACACCTATGGAAGACTGGATATTCTGGTGAGTTTATTTACTAGAAAAAATATACATTAACACATTATGTCTATACCATAATTATTTTTGTTCTCATTTTTAGTAAAACACATAGACATTCGAAGACTAGTGTTACATTATTTTTTCTGGTCAGTTTAAGCCTGGCAAGCCATCTATAAATAGGAACAAGAAAGGCTTTATACTACCAGTAAAGAAACGAAACTAGTACCATTTTAAAATAAGCTATTTCTACTTAGTCTGGTTACCTTTTTTATGTATTTACGTCCGACTTGGTGTTTCTCTTTTCTAATTATATATACAGGGGTTTCTTTTCATGGGGCAGGGGGGAACCGTCTTCCATAACTCAACCCCAGATACTTTATGCAATTATCACTTGTGTTTTGTTACAGTCACTTCAACAGACACAGTCACTGTCCAATGTGACGACATACTTTTATGACTCAATATCAGCCATCTTTCGTACATCTTTCTAAATTTGGTTATATATTTTGTAGGAGCTTCAGAACACGGCTCTTGTGTTACTTTTCTAAACCTAAATGTTGGTGTGTTATATTGTTTAGAATTCTAAGAGGGGTTCCTACTTTACACACAAAGTATCAAGATGTTACTGGGTTTTCTTCTATGATAAGTTGGTTAAATTTATCCACTACCTCTATTACACAAATTGGAAATCGTTCTAGAATAGCCAGTGTTTTACCACTGGACCTAAGCCTTCTCTTGCTTTAACGATATTGTTAAATACTAAAACAATCCTTTCTTTGAAGAGATGAAACACTTTTCACACTTTGATAATATCGGAATAAGGATACATTCTGTAATATAAT